ATAATGTGCATAAATTATGCCATCATTACTCAAATATTGTATTATGCTAGTTTTTATGATAAGTGAAGAAAGTAGGAGTAGTTCAAAATGTTTTCAAATATCTCCGAAGTTTATCGTGCAAAAAAAAACAATAAGTGTATTCAATTGAACATTTGACTACCCCATCATTTAGAGGAAAAAAAGTGGCAATAATAATATGCAATTTATTTTAAAATCCCTTTTCAAATAAAGTCAGGAAAAACTAAAAATAATTTGGCGATAAATCTGGTAAATGAGACAAATGGACTATCTGATAATTTAAAGGCCTACCTAGCAAATTCTGTTTTTTTCAAATAACTAAAGTTTGGGGTAATGCAATGTACATACTATATTTTGTTGGAATCAGAATTAAAAAGTATATTCACATGTGTGGCGCCCTTAAGAGAAAAATGAGGTTGACGTTGGAGGACAAGAGACGAAACGTCATATTGGTATTCTAATTAAGCCATCTTTTATTTGTTATTGGATATGTTTGAAACTCGTTTAATTTGAAATGGAATGCTTGCCTCCAGAAATTGTTTGTCTATGCTGCATTTAGATTTATGAGGAAGAAATAAATACAGAAGATAGCTTGAAGTATAGATTTTTCGAATATCTGCCTTGCTTACCGTTCCCACAACCCCCCACCCCAAACATCCGACCACGTTTTGCGAGTCACAATTTCGATCAAAAATACCGAGAACAATAATATAATATGTGCCCTGTACTGGGTTTAAAATTTAAATACATATACGTGAATAAGTTTTTATATATAGATTCACTGATAAACCTGCTTCTTATACACATATAATTTATGTAACCATTGTTATTTTGAAACAAAGTAAATAATGTCTCCATTATGATAAAGTCAGACTTGTAGCTTTATGAGTATATTGCTCACTCCAGTATTGTAACAGCAACCTTTTACTCTAATAAATAAAAGATAAATTGTTAGAAACAAACTTTTATTTAGAACTAAAAACTTAAAAGTATTTTTTCCGATTGAAAATATGCCATTTTATACCTTTTAATATTTAACTGCGAGAGGGAAAAAGGCTGTTACGGGGTTTTACTTGAAAACTTAAAACAAATCACCATGTTAAAAAGTATAAAATTTCCAATGGGGAGAAATTATTTTTAGGTCTCCTTATTAACGGCTAAATGGAAACTTTTAAAAATGTTTTTCTTTTGTTTATTTTGTATTCTTTTAGTAGGTAGGTACCTAAGATGTTAAATAGCTAGTACGTTCTCTCTTATTTACATATATTTTATTAAAAGGATTTCGTTACTTTATTTTTATTATGGGATTTTGATGGGTACAAATCATATCTAACGTACATAAACGATTGTTTAATTGATTAAAGGAATAAAATGTACCTATATATAGATATTATACCTAGGGGTGGCCATTTGCTGTGGCCACCGCAATGGATTCGTAAGGACGTCACACTGCCTAGTGTGTTTCTCTCATGAAGCCCTTTCATTTGATAACCATATCATAGAAGTATGGAAATTATTAATCGCCATTTTGTAGCATTCGTGACATAGGGTCTAGAATGTTGGCATTTAAGTTATTGCCTATTGTCATGACAACAAACGTGTAATACAAAATTTCAGCTTAATTAGCCGAAGCTAACGTGTTCAAAATTCAGTTATTCAGTGATAATTAATTTTTTTGCTGCATTTCAGGAACAGTCTATTTGACAAATTTTTGATACTCTGCCCAAATTATTACTGTCACTGGTCTATCGGGCAATCCCTCAGATCCAATTTCTGATTATGAATATTGTGCAAAGTACTCGAGAGAGAAGCAATTATTGTAGTTGGGTTTCTCGGTCCAAAATTGACTCAATTGGTCGAAATAGCGTTTAGAAGTGGTTGGTCCATACAGTAGGGTGAACACAATAGACCCCTTATAGTTATAGTGGGAGGGGTGATACAGACATCGACCCTCGCAGATTTTCAACATGTATATCCGCAGTAGCATGAGTTTGGGTTGAGACTATACATGATGGCAATTCCCGAAATTTTATAATGTTCTTTCTGATTTGCAAAATCGTTAATAATTTTACATGGTTTTGGATTTTTTGAATGTTTCAAAATTTTCGTGATTTAAACTATTCGTCTACTATTTATCAATTAATACTACCTGGTCCTGAAAAGGAAGAGAGCAGCAAAACACAGAACCCTAAATGCCAGGGCACCGCGGCTGCTGAGGTTCCCAAAGAAATTTTGTTAATCCGATTCTTGACCTGCCCAAGGTTAGTAGAACTGGGAAAAACCTTCCTCTTGTAGATTGTTCCACAATCTCGATACCCTCGGAACAAAGGAGCGGTCGTATCGGCCAGTTCTATATGTACGAAGTTCGACACAGTTAGGATGGGAGGCCAAAGTCAGACGGGTCTATCTGGCAGGCACATCGCACAGCGGCATCATGGAGGAGAGCTCTGAGGAGCAAAGCCCCTTGGTAGCGGTAGATCGCCGACGGCCAGCCGGTGCAAAGGGGTCCCGATACTGTCTGTTAGAGAAGAGTCAACGATCAGTCGGACAGCCCTTCTCTGGAAAGCGTCGAGCATAAATAATGTAGTCGGGGCGGCAGCACCCCAAAAGTGTGAGCAATACTCGAGGCTAGGCCTTAATCGGGCCTTGTATGGAGTGAGAAGGTCATGCGGATAAAAGTACTTCTTAGCCCTAAACAAATAGCTTAGCCTTTTCCCAGCAGCTGCCGCTATTGACGAGATGATGTGTTCGTGCCAGATCAAGTCCTCGATGATCTAAACTCCGACCAGCCGAAATGAACGGCTCATTGGCAGAACTCGGCCATCCATCGAAACCGGATGGGCGCTAGGACGCTTTTTGTTTGTCAAGGTACAGTACTGTGTTTTGGAAGCATTAAACTGTACAAGATTATTGCGTCCCCACGCAGTGATAACTTCTAGGTCTCTCGTCAGAGCGGAAGTCGTCGCTAGTCTTCTTTTTTGCAGCTCAGCGGCAGAGGTCGTCTTGTCGAGCTGAATTCCTGCACGTAAAGTGCTTTCATCAGCAAAGCTGTGGATTGGGTTGACCGTACAGCAAAGGAGGTCGATCCCTGGGGAACACCCGCGTTGATATTGTAGGATGAAGAGGAAAACCTGTCAACTACGACGGCTATCTTGCAAGCGTCTCTGGGAAGTCATAGAATGGAAGTTTGCATAAGAGGGCAGAGTGACTTCAAAACTTATATTGTCTTCCCACATCTATCAATCAAGAAGTTTGACCCCAGTGCTTTTGATTGTAATGTTGCCTCTACGCAAAATTTCAACTAATTTTTACGAAAGGCGAGGGGTTCTTTCTTGTAATGGAAACATACCTTTACGAAACATTAGGTTACGTGTCTGTGAGAAACAATGCGTTCCAACTATTTGACTTAATAACCTTGAACGGTTGTTTTTCTGCAATACATGGAGCCCAACCCTTGAAGCAGTTTTAATTAGCAGTAGTAAAAAACTGTAGGTACGCTGTTTATTTTGTTTATCTGTGAAATCTTCGTGTACCCAGCGCAGTTCTGGTATGATCGTGTCCACTATTGTTTATTATAGAGTCCGCGATCTTTAAATTAGATTAGCCATCTAATGAATAAGGTCAGGTTTTATATCTACGGATCGGGGCTGAACAAGCAAAGCTTATCTCTGAGGTTGATAAAAGTTGTAGGTGTTGAAAGCGTTGATATCACGTTTTGTCTTGGATTTGTGGGCATCTGATAGATACCAAATGCCTTTCATCGGGAGTTGACTGTCATATCGTTTGATTGATGGTTTGATAAGGCTTAGGCTACATTCGAAACGTGCATGTCTACATCAGAGTTATATGTATTGTATGCAAGCCTTTAAATCTAAATCTTTGTATATGGAAATTTTCTTTTGATCTAATGTCGTAACCTTGCATTTTACATCTTTTTTTAGAAACTGCTCAAGATAAGGCGGAGCCTGATTATTGATAATTTTATATAAAAGAATTAAATTTGCCGCTTGAATAATTTGGTGTATCTTTAAAAAAATTAATGCCTTTAGCATATCCTGTATAGGGGTATACCTGCTACAATTTAACAAAATCCGCATGCATTAATTTAATAGAATTTGTAACCTTTGCTTTTGTTCATTTGTGCATCAAAAGTGATGCACACTAAGTAAAATGAGGAAAAATTATTGTATCGTAGACTACCCTCCTGCACCAGGGACTTTGCCTAATTTCGGACACGTAGTCAACATGTTTGTTGAAAGTTAGTTGGTGATCTATTATACTTAATACCTAAATACTTAAAACTATCTACAAAATCAAGTACCTCTCCCTCAATTTTCACTGGCGTATTTAAATCTACCAGTGAGAGAGTGCAATTATTTTTCGAATCTATGATCATACATTTCGTGTTTCTCACATTTAATTTAATCTTGTTTGTTTTTAACCATGATGTAAGTTTGCTCATTTCACTATTCATTACATCTACAATTTTCACTAACTGAAATTAATCTATTATCCCCAAACAAATTTACAAAAGAGTTGTTAAGGACATTGGACATATCATTGACATATAGAATAACCAGCAATGGGCCTAGTACGCTTCCTTGAGGTACTCCATGATCAACAGAAACATTACTTGAAATTTTACTTTCAATGTTTACCACTTGTAACCGCTCAGATAAATAATCACCCACCCACAAGAGGGCTGTACCCTTAATTCCATGCATTTCACATTTTCTCAACAACAATTTCCTGTCAGTAGTTTCAAACGCTCCTTTCAGGTCAACAGACACACACACAATCACTTTAGCATCATCTACATCTTTTTTCCACTTTGTACATACAAATTGGCATGCAGTTTCACAAGAATGATTCCTTCCGATCGCGGATTGCTTCTCAAAAAGAACGCCATTCAAACATTCAAACGTAGATGCTCATTCAGCTGTTCATGCACTGTTATTTCTATAATTTTCTCAACGACTGGCATAATATTGATGGTTCGCAAGTCTTCTGGCTTACATGGATTATTTGTTTTGGGTACCGGGGTTATAATACTCTTGTTGATGACATCAAACAGTTGCTTCACCAAAATGCATGTAAGTGCTTCATCATCCGTAGATTTTTTCTTGAATTGCGTGGCCTATTCAGTGAAATTTCTTGAAACCTCCAGAGTTCCTCTTCTAAAGGCACTGCTGCCATTATAGCTTCCTCATTACTTGCAGGTATAGTGCTTACTATATCAGTTACACTCTTGATAAAATAATTGTTCAATTTATTCTCTATAGTGTCACACCCATTAATTTCCAAAGACATAATCAATGTATACATGTTTGTTATCAACGAGATCTTTCAAGTTTCTCCACATTTGTTTGCTGTCTCCTTTACATCTGTCAATATTTTCTTCATAATGCTGTTTTGGTTTGATCTTATAAGAGCAACGACTTTTACGTTTTTTCTTTATATTTTTCGAAGTCATCCCTCAGGTTGGTAAATTTGAAAATCCGCATCTCCTTCTCTTGTTCTTTTTTGACCTCTTCGTCAATCCATAACTTGTAATTGAGACAAAAATGATACCAAATACGATTCATGGGGATAATATTTTTGGGGACCTTTTTTCATTTTTAGCTCTGTAAAACTAGCCACAGAATGATGAACTAGTTCACTTAGATCAATCATAAGATTCGCGAACTATACACCACTAGTTCAAGTATTGAAAAAAATATTGTATATTATATGAGTACTGCACTGTATTTTCAGTAGCAGCGTGTGTGATATCTTCAACGATCTTTGTACTTTAACACAACCTACATCCTACAATTATTACATGTCACGAGCATAAATGCATACAAGTGATTTACAATTGAGCAATGAAGTATTTTCCGCATTGTTTATAGGAAAAGTATGTATTACTACAGTTATAAATTCTTGCCTAGTGGAAGTATAATTATACCATTGCAAAACATATTCTTCGTCGAGATGAGTCAAAAATCAAGTATCAAGGTCCAATTTTTGTTCGCATTATATCACATACTTCTACTAATTACTAGTTTGCTGATTTATAGGCTAGAATATTGTTTCTTATAATAAATAATATAAGGGGCATTTCACCCAAGCCGACAGCGAAAAAAAGTGAGGTTTTCAAGTTTGTTCGTATTGGGCCTGTTTGGTAGGTGTGAAAGAGAAAACTCGATTTATTTTCTTGGCACGTTAATTTGCGTTAAGTTATGGGCTTCGAAAGAGAAGCCGCATTTGAAATTGGGATTTCTTAGAACAATATTTTCGAATTGAAAAGTATTATAGTGGGATATGAAACATAGCGTTTTATGTAGATTTTGTGTATTTTGATGAAAAACTCAAATTTGACGTCATACTCAGTGCCACTGTATGTACATAAAAATATCCCTCCTTAGGGAATGTGCATCCCATTTACGACTTCTAAACACATTTTAGGTTATAATACTTTTGAGTCAGAAAACAGGATAAAAATGGTTTCAGTTTTGCACACTAGTTTTTTCATATTTCAATATATTTAAGAAAATCGTATAATAATAAAATATTATTTTATGTTAAAATATATTTAAAACGATTATTAGCGCTGAAAAATACTCGGAGTGTAGCCAATTAATACAATATCTCGCAAACCAAACTTTTGATCTATTTTAAACACACCTCAGGCTATGTTTCGGAGTAAAAAACTCAAAAATAACAAAATGCGATGTCGGCCCAATTTTGCTTTGGAATGTTTACTTCCGGATTAGCACCACAAGTTGTTTTTTTTTTAATTTCAAATTTGGGCTTTTTGTGAAAATGTGCTTAAATATTTGCTATATGAAACGATATGTCTCATATCTCACTGTGATACTTTTCAATTCGAAAAAATCCCAATTTCAAATTGGGCTTCTGTTTCGACGCCCGAAACTTAGCAAATGAATGTGCTATGAGAAAAAATCGTATCTTCTCTTTCACACCAGCTGCATCAAAGCCCAATATGAACAAATGTTTCAACCTCACTTATTTTTCGCTGCCCGCTTCACGTAAAATGCCCCATAAGTGAAATACAATGCCTTTTTTCAATAAAACAAACTAAATAGGTCAAACGTGTTTTATGGAATTTGAATGAACATGGTAACAATCTGTTTTAATTTGATTTTAACACCAAAAGTGAATTTGGCCATACCGAAAGTTCCGAAAATCTCTGGTCCATTCGGTTTTTTTGGCAGATTCCGTAATTTACGTTCTCTATAATAATACCGGTTTTTTCATATCATAATCCGCTCTACCTAGAATAAAAGAAATGCGTTGGATATTGATTGATTTTCACTCCGTTTATTTCCATCTAATATTTTTTCAACTTATAAAATGAGAATCAAGGACGATATGTTGAGTGTCAAATTATATCTGTTTCGTTTCCCGCCAATACGATAGGAAGCATCCTAAATTACAGGAAACATCATTATCAGTGTTCCTTCCAATTTCCTGTATGCATTTTATATTTTATGAAACTGCATGTGTAACAGAGGAAGTCAAAGATGCACTTATATAATCTGCATGCGATTTGCAAAGGACTTCGCACACCGATTCTGATAGTCCGTATTCGTACAGGGTGATCCAAAAAACACTGGCTGTATATCTAGAGTGAAATGTACGTAAGTCTGCGAAAATCAAAGGTTTGCCATTATTTTAGGCATAATTTATTTTGATATGAAGTTTTAATTTTTTTATATTTAATTTTATTTTAAAACAACTAAAAGTCTTTTATTTGGTCGCCCAATTTCAGCGATTTATTTTGAAGACAAGTTTTTGAAAAAATACAAAAATCCTCAAAAGGTCAGTCCTTTGGCATGTCACAATCCCAAAAACGTACAATCAAGCGGCCGTCTAACGAACATTACCATTAATTTAAGAAAACTTGCTATTTCTCTACAATCTGTGATTTACTTAATAATGTATAGTACAACTTTCATAATATAATATTCCCACCGTTAATTATAAAAAATTAAGAAATTTTTGTGTTTAGTTCCATTCGTCAGTCCGTTGTGTGTTGTTCAAAATATAGAATTCTCGCCAAATATCACCGACTCGAAATTGCATCCCTGTTAAATTTCAACTTGGGTGGTGAAGAGAGCTGCATACCGTCCCATTTGACAGCTGCCCATACTAAACCAGTGCTAGAGTTGTGGTTACTGTGAATACACGTACCGATCCAGCCAAAATATCAGACTGATTGTTTACAAACTTCAGTTTTATTTTGATTCATATGTAGTTAACTATGATATGATAAAATATAGCTTTTTGATATTCGAAAGTACGAAAAGAAAGATTAGTTCGAATTATAATCTCAAAATAAGGTCATTTTCGTCAGTACTTTGGCGACAGTCCTTTGTCTAACATTGCGTCAATGGATTTTTTTAGATCGCTTCTATCCTAACGGCAACTGTGAGTAAGTATTTCTTTTATTTATTACAGTTTAAACCTCATGAAAAAAAGACAGAATTTGTCTAAAGAATATGTATTAAAGAGAAAAAGAAAAGCCGAATTAAAAGCAAGTACATTAAATAAGCTAAATACAAAGAAAAACAAAGGTTACAATACTTGAAAAAGATGAAAGGGCAAAGAAAACCTTTGGAGTAACGGCAACTAGAAAAAATGGAAAAGAAATGGAAAGGTATAGACAAAAAAGCTACTGTTCAAACAAACTCTTAATTTTATACATCAGAATACTCCTCTAAATACTGAGAACAAAATACAACCAGTTCCTGAAGAAAATAGACCTATTGTTAGTGCAGACCAAAGAGCGAAAGAAGCAGAAAAGAGTAGCGAAAGACAGAGGAAGTCCAGAAGTAAGCAATTAAAAAAATCTGACCTCAACTAAATATTCATCCCCAAAAATATAGATGAGTTGAAAAGCAGTTAAAGAGAATCATAAAATCTGTTGAAAAATCGCCAAAAAAAAAAAAACAAAAACAAAATTGAAGTTGGTGAAGTTGTAACTAAAAAGAAGGAATTAGTGAAAAAGTTATTGAAATTCAATTAGAAGAATACGACACTACAAGAAAAATCAGATCGGTGCAAGATCAACATAGGTACATTGCATTGCTGGTTTATTCAATAATTAGTTATTAGTTGTGGAATAGTACAGTGTTAGTTCCTAGGCTTCGCCTCACTATGACTTTTACTACTACACTAAACAAGAAAAAATAAACAGTTCAAACAAACTATATCCTTAAATGTAATAGACAAATACAAACTTTGGCGAATACAAAACAGATCAGTGCCTTACTAAAAGACTGGACATTAGCTTGCAAAAGAAACAATAATCAAAGTGCAACGTTTGGTTTTGGCAATTTTGATCAATGCTAACAGTCGTCAAGCAGCTGGAAAGAAAGAATGAGTGTCTTATAATATACAATACCATGGAGCAAGTGTATAATATATTTGCTGGATGGTATGAAAAATATTTGTGAATAATTTTTAATGTGTGACCAGATATTCCCTATTTACTTATTGTTAATAGCTAGTAATAAGTATAAGACGTGCAGTTATTAGAATCGAAGATATTTGTTCAAAGTTCTAATACATTCCATATGTTTTCTATGAAACTGCATATTTTGTCAGCCCTATGTTACTTTCGTCAGAGTACCCTGGCGGTCAATTTCAGAAAAATCGAAATATCTCAAAATCTACTCATATAAGTGACTGGCCCTGTTTCGAACAATATATTCATTAGATTATCTGTCTTAAATACCCGATCTGTAGACATTTGACTTGAAAACTATAGTAAACAATGTATAACTAAAAGTTACCTAATTTTTGTATATTCACTCACATGCATCCAAACATAACATAAATAGTTTGTATAAACATAGCTTCTAAAATGTATCTTTATTAAAATGCAGGGTGTAACAGTGTGATTGGTAGACATTGATTCTCTTATACATTACATACAATTTACGTCACCGAATATCTTGGACGTTTCTAAGATATGTTTTTCCCAGATTTCACCACAAATATTCGATAAAAATTTAATAATGCAACTGTGTTTACATTGATCAACCTGCACAGCAAGGGCGTGAACACATGACTAATTCATGGTTAACTCAGAATACGAGAAGTATTTGATTAGGAAAGAACTTCAGCAGAATTGATTTGTGTTTTGGCTTTTGAAGTTGAAAATGTACGGTTTCATTTCTCGTTTTCCTTTTCTTGGTCTCTATAGCCAGCATATTATAATAAATTGTTGAAGTGAAATTGCAAAAGGTATG